GCCTGCCTCAGCCTCAGCCTCAGTCTGCTTCAGCCTCAGCCTCAGTCTGCCTTCAGCCTCGGCCTCAGCCTCAGCCTGCCTCAGCCTCAGCCTGCCTCGGCCGCAGCATCAGCCTGCCTCAGCATTCAAAATGTGGCCCAGGAATGGAGTTCTGGGAACTAGAAGAACACGAAGTGGCCTACAGTTGGCTCCGGGCATTCAAAATCATGCCCAGGAATGGAGTTCTGGGAACTTGAAGAGCACGAAGTGGCCTACAGTTGGCTCCGGGCATCCAAAATGTGGCCCGGGAATGGAGTTCTGGGAAGAGCACGAAGCACGAAGTGGCCTACAGTTGGCTCCGGGCATCCAAAATGTACGCCGGGAATGGAGTTCTGCAGCGCCAAGAGCGATTTTGCGAGGATGTCCCAAGCGATTTGGGCTTCGGCGGCAGCCGCGGCGGCAGCCGTTCCGGGTCCCGCCCCGACCCCCCTGTGGAGTCATCTGCTGCTCTCTTTTGAGACCACTAGAAACCTATCAGCAAAAGCTGTTAGGTAACAATACAAAACACACTCTGCCTCCAAATTCGGAACATGCGCAGCCAACCCGATGCGGCCCCCCCCCACCATCCCTGTCAAAAGACGATACAGAATACACTTGGCGACGGCGGCGGCGGCTGCGGCGGCGGCGGCTGCGGCGGCTGCGGCGGCGGCGGCGGCGGCGGCGGCGGCGGGGGCGGCGGGAGCGGCGGCGGCGGCGGCGGCGGCGGCGGCGGCGGCGGCGGCGGCGGGCGGCGGCGGCTGCGGCTGCGGCGGCGGTTTGACAGCGGGGGGCGGCGGCGGCGGCGGCGGGCGCGGCGGCGGCGCGGCGGCGGCGGCGGGCGGCGGCGGCGGCGGCGGCGGCGGCGGCGCGCGGGGGCGGCGGCGGCGGGCGGCGGCGCCGGCGCCGGCGGCGGCGGCGCGGCGGCGGCGGCGGAGGCAGCGGCGGCGGCGGCGGATTGGCCCCCAGCAGCTCCCCATCCCAAGACGACTGCTGAATATGCTGAAGCTCGGGCCAGACTCGGATGCTACGTATGTGTTGGGAGGGGGGTGGGAGTGAGCGAGACGGCTTGCGGGCGGGGAGGGGGTAACTTGACCCCTCCCCCTACCCCCTCCCCTGGACCTCGACGGGGGGTTCCCCGACGCGCTGGAGCGTCCAAAACGGCCTCGGCGAAGAAGCCGAAATCAGTGGTTTTATTAAGGCTCTGGTCCCATTTTGGCCTCCTGATGGGGGGGAGGCTAATTGAGACCTCCCCCTCCTTTGATCGATCTCCTCCAAGATGGCCCCAAGAGGCGCCCAGGAGGCCCCAAGAGGCCCCGACATGGCCCCAAGATGGCCCCATGTGGCCCCAAGAAACCCCCAAGAGGCCCCCAGGATGCCCCCAAGAGGCTCCCAAGAGACCCCCAAGGGGCCCCAAAAGGCCCCCCAGAGGCACCCAAGACGCTCCAAGAGTCCTCGGCGAGACTGCCAAAATCATTGATTTTACAAAAAGGTTTTGGCCACATTTGGGCCTCTTGGGGGGGGGGCACTGCTTCAGACGACTCCAAGAGCGCCTGGGGGAGCCCAAGATGACCTCCAAGATGGCTCTAAGATACCCCAAGATGCCTCAAGATGGTTCCCACGATGCTCCAAGAGGCCCCAAGACCGCCTCAAGACGGCTCCAAGTGGCCAAAGAGCTCCCCCAGGAGGCCCCGAAGAGGCCAAAATCCTTCCAAAACTTTAGGGAAATCAATGTTTTGGGCGTTATCGCCTTTTCGCTTCCGATGGCCATCCGAGGCTTCACGATGACTCCAAGATGGCCCTAGAGGGTTCCAAGAGCGCTCCCAAGGCTCCCAAGAGCGCTTCAAGAGGGCCCCAACAGGCGCCCAGGAGGCCCCAGGAGGCCCAACAGGCACTTCAGAGGCCTCCAGGAGGCCCCCAAGAGACCCCCAAGAGGCCCCAAAAAACTCTCCGGGGCACCCAAGACGCTCTAAAAGGCGTCCAGGACCGCCAAGAGGCCCCCAAGACGCTCCACGAGGCCTTAACTGGGGGACCCTTCCTCTGTGGGCTGCCCACTTCCCTGATCGCGGCACTTCCTCTGGGCATCGTTTCTGGATGGGCTGGTGGGGGTATTTTTTTTTATCTGCGGTTCCAAGGACGATTCCAGAGAGCGGGTCAATCTCGACAGGGGCGCAATGCGAGACGATTAGCAACGCAGGCACATAGGCCAACGCCGCGACGCACGTGCCAGGGACAAAATGACCCTCATTAAGTGCCGACCCAGAGGCGGGAAACGGCAGCAGTCGGAAAAAGACGGAGGAGGAGGAGGAAAGAGGCAAGTAGAAGAGGAGGGGTGGCAGGGGAAGCCTCACTCACTTGAACTCATGGGCGCGAGTCGCCGTGAGCCATTGATCAATGGACTGACGTCGATGCACCCGCGGAGTCCAAACCTAGACTGCTAGACCCGGAGTGTCGGGGGAACAGCAGCAGGCGTGGCCTAACACCATGGTCCCCTCGTAGGAGAGCGTGAGTACTGAAGAGGATGAACCACTCGAGCAGTACCAGGAGCACGATGCGGGCTCCCGCCCTGAGGTGGGCCACGTCGTCGGCGAACAACGCAGGCAGCTTATCCATCACGTCGTCAGGCTGGTGGGGTTACTTTTTTTTAAACGGCCGCAGGCGGAAGCGCCAGCGGCGGGCAGTCACGGTCGGGCCGCGGCCGTGGCTAAATTCCCAAGCGCGCGCGGCGCGGCTCAGGCGGCGGGGCAGCAGGGCGTGCAATCCAGGGAGTCTGCAGGGCAGCCCCTGAAAGGAACATGCAACGGCGTATCCAGGGAGTCTGAACACAGGCACCGAGGAAGCAGAGCGCAGCCAAAGTGGCGCGTAAGGCGTTCCCAACAGTTCGGATACGAACAAAAAGGAAGCGGTCCCGAAGACGTCAATCCAGGGAGTCTGACGGGTAGCACAGACTGACCGGTGACACAGCCCAGCGGGGAAACCCTGACGGCAGATGCGGACCATCGCGACGTCAGAGCACGCATCCAGGGTGTGGAAACAGAGTAGCCAGTGAGAACCTTCCACAACTGAGATGCGCCTGAGCCCTTGGTCCAGCGACTGGAAAGGGCGCAGCAGCGTGCACAAAGCCACACGGTAGGAACGCGCAGCTGATAGTGCACATCCAAAGTGTCTCAGCGCCACCCATAAGCGTGTAGGGTAGCACCCGAGGGACGGGACCGTCGTATACCCAAAACGCGTCCCTCAGAGTCACTTCGTTCCAGGGAGTCTGCAGGGCAGCCCCTGCTGGTGGGGTTACGCGAAGCGTCTAGAATTACTGTGGGGTGCACAGGTCGGTTACTTGTTTGATGCGCCTACTGTAGGGGCACGGGAAGAGAAGTGGACCCCACGAGGAAAACAACCGGCAAGGACGCCCCATGTTCCCAACACTCCTGCGTCGGGTCCTCGTTTTGAATAAAACAATGATGTCCCCACTTCTTCCCTCCTCCCTTGCTCTTCCTGCGCTGCTCCATGTGTGGCTGCGATCTGCACAACGCCACTTTCGTGGGCTCATGGGAACCCCCGCGGAGGACATCTTGCGAAGATCAGAACGAAACCTCGCCGTCCCTGGGAGGCTGCAAACTGCGAAAATGTCGCTACGTAGGCTTCTGGGAGGCCCAGCAGAGTGACATCTTACGGGGATCAGACTGAGACCTCGCCGTCTGCGCGCTGCGATCTGCAAAAATGTCGCTACACATATAAGCTTCTGGGAGGCCCAGCGGCGTGACCTCTTTCGGGGATCAAAACGTGACCTCGCCGCCCTGGGGGGGCTGCGAACAGCGAAAATGTCAACACTTTCTGGGAGGCCCAGCGGAGTGACGTCTTACATGGATCAGAACGAATCCTCGCCGTCCCTGGGGGACTGCGATCTCCGAAACTCTCGCCACTTTCGTCGGCTCCTTGGAGGCCCAGCGGAGTGACGTCTTACGGGGATCTGCATGAGACCTCGCCGTCCCTGGGGGACTGCGAAACCGTCGCCACTTTCGTGGGCTCCTGGGAGGACTTGCGGAGTCGGGGGCCACGCGCGTCCAGACTGCACCTCGCTGCTCCCTGGGTGGCTGCGCACTGCGCAGCTGGCGCCGCTCTCGTGCGCTCCTGGGAGGTCCAGCGGAGTCGCGCGGGCCCATCTGGGACCTCGCTGCTCCCTGGGCGGCTGCGAACTGCGCAACCGTCGCCACGGGCGTGGGCTCCCTGGGAGGCATGGCGGGTGGCGAGGGGCGCGCGGACCCGCCTGGGGACCATCGCGGCTCCCTCGGGTGCCGCGAGCCGCGCAGCCGTCGCCCCTTTCGTGGGCTCCTGGGAGGCACGGTGGAGATGAGGGCAGCGCAGATCTGAAGGGGAACTGGAACACACAAATAAATACACACAAATAAAAATATCCCCCATATTTTCCCATATTTTCTGGGTTTTCGTCTTCCCCCCCACTTCCCATATTTTCCCATATTTTCTGGGAATCGACGATTAATTGTGTCTGTGTGTTTTTTCCCCTCCTGAAGATCGTGCATATGTAGCGACGTGTTCTTTTGTATGGAACGCTCGTGCACAAAGAATCGCCTCGCGTGGAGAAGGGGCGCACGTCTCGGGAGAGTGAGCCACGTCCCTGGCGTTACCGTCCGCTTCCTCTGATGCGGTCATCCTCCGTACCGTCCTTCTCCTCCTACGCATCCTCATCCTCCCCTCCCCTCCCTGAGCTACTCCCCTTAAGAAAAGGCGTCCCAAATGGGATCCGAGTAGAGGGAGTCGGAGGATCGCGCCACATCGACGATACGACGGCAATGCAGTGGCGATGCACCAGCGACGTCGGCGATGGATCGGCGACGTCGACGTGAAGCGACGCATCGATCCACCTCGCCGATGCGTCGGCGATGCGGAGCGATCCTTCAACCCCATCTACTCGGACCCCATCTGGGAGGCCTAGATTATGGCGAACCCTGGTTCGGCGACCCATGATCCTCATCTACGCAGTTAACACCCAGCTGCGCCCAAACGTCTCTGAACCTCTCGAAGTCCAGCGTGGGCGCATCTGGCGTGCTGCCCGAACTCCCGCTGAGCGCCGTGAAGGCAGCCACCGGGTCCCAGTCGTCGCCTCCAGATGCTCTCTCTCTCCCGTCTCTCTCCTCCTGGAAGCCCCGCCCTCGCTCAGTTCTCTGGGGGCCTCCCAGGTGTGGTCCGAGCAGATGGGGGATCGCGCCGCATCGCCGATGCATCGACGATGCATCGCCGACGTCAGCGGTGCGTCGGCGACGCCAGCGTGAAGAAAATCGGGCTCCACATCGAGCCGCATCGGCGATGCGGCGCGATCCTCCGACCCCACCTACTCTCTGACCCCATTTGGGAGGCCTGGATTATCTGCCTCCCTCCTCCACCCCACACTTCCTTCAACCCAACACGGTGCACCGCGGATGGCGACCACACGCTGCCCCCAGATTGTTGATGGCTCGATGTTCTGAATCCGCGGGCCCCTGAGATCTTCACTCGCTGCCCAGGGACAGCTTTTCCATCACGGAGCCACTGTGGAATGCTCTGGGGACCGAAAACTGTTCCCACATCTCGATGCTGAAGAAAAACACCCAGAAAAATCGCAATGTACCCAACTCCTTGGCAACACGTGGCAGCAACCCTCGATCCACCAAACCACTGGAGTGGTGGATGTGATACGTAATCGCACAGACGGAATATTAGCGCGAACACGGCAACGATACAGTGCGCAGTTGGTAGCCCCCCCAGGGAGCCGCGAGATCTCGTCTGGGTCCACATGTCAAGTCGCTGCGCTGACCATCCGAGGAGCTCATGGAAGGGGCGACAGCTGCGCAGTTCGCAGCCCCGCCGGGGAGCCGCGACTTCTCATCTGGGTCCGCGTGTCGCGTCGCTCCGCTGGCCATCCCAGCAGCCCACGGAAGTGGCGACAGCTGCGCAATTGGCAGCTCCCCCAGGCAGCCGCGAGGTCTCGTCTGGGTCCGCGTGTCGCATCGCTCCGCTGACACTCCTAAGAGCCCGCCGGGGTGGCGAGAGTTGAGCAGAGAAGGCCTCCCGCGGAGCGCAGGCAAGAGACAAGAGGCAGGAGGAGAGGGGGAGGTGGCGGAGGGGAAGGACAATATTAGGAGACCAATAGTGCCCTAGCAGAAACGAGGATCCAAGTCGAGAGAGCGTAGATGAAAGTTTGCCAGCGTTGGCCCCAAGCGGTAAGCTCCTGCACCCTGGGTGTGTAAGCCATGCGGTGCAAGCTGTGTAGAGCAAGCTGTGTGTTGCAAGCTGTGTGGTGCACGCTTTGCGTGCTGCAGGCAATGTGGTGCAAGCTATGTGTGATGCAAGCGATGTGGTGCAAGCAGTATGACGCATTTGCGTGATGCTGGTCAAATTGTGTAAGTATGCTGTGTAAAGTACGCGATGCAATCAGCTCGGGGCGCCCACGGTTCGCTCACGGCTGCCCACCCAGCGAAACCCCAGCAGACCCATCCAACTACTCTCAAGGAGAAGAAGTCAGGGTATCTAAGTGCAAGCACTGCTGTGGGGGGAGCGGGAAAGGAGAACGCTCGAACTCTGGGTCGGAAAACCGCAGCCGTCCCTGCCTCTTTGCCGCCAACGCCACCCGCCCAGGGCCGACTCGGCACCCGACTACCCCTGCGGCATTGGCAGAAGGCAGCGGGCACAACGAAGGAAAACTCCTCCTCTTGCGCCCTCACCATTGCATCCGTATCGTCCGTCCTCCTCATTCTCCATCCTTCATGCTCCTCCTCCTCCTCATCCTCCTCCTCCTGCTCCTCCTCCTCCTCCTCCTTGTTCTCCTCCTCCTCTTCCTCCTCTTCTTCCTCCTCCTCCTCCTCCCCCTCCTCCTCCCCCTTCCTCCTCATCCTCTCAGTCGTATGACGCATAGTTGTGGTAGTATTATTACTGGTGTTGTGTGTTGTGAATTGTATTACTGGAATTTCACCATGCTATTTTGCACGACTATTATTTGGTTAGCCGTATTATTCTCAGCATTGTTATTAGTAGTAGTAGTAGTAGTAGTAGTAGTAGTAGTAGTAGTAGTAGTAGCAATAGTAGCAATAGTAGTAGTAGTAGTAGTAGTAGTAGTAGTAGTAGTAGTAGTAGTAGTAGTAGTGGTGGTGGTGGTGGTGGTAATAGTAGTAGTAGTAGTAGTAGTAGTAGTAGTAGTAGTAGTAGTAGTAGTAGTAGTCGTAGTAGCGGTAGTGGTAGTGGTAGTGGTAGTGGTAGTGGTAGTGGTAGTGGTAGTAGTAGTAGTAGTAGTAGTAGTAGTAGTAGTAGTAGTAGTAGTAGTAGTAGTGGGAGTAGTAGTAGTAGTCGTCGTAGTAGTAGTGGTAGTAGTGGTAGTTGTTGCTGTTGTAACAGTAGTAATAATAGTAGTAGTAGTAGTAGTAGTAGTAGTAGTAGTAGCCGTAGTAGTAGTAGTAGTAGTAGTAGTAGTAGTAGTAGTAGTAGTAGTAGTAGTAGTAGTAGTAGTAGTAGTAATAGTAGTAGTTGTAGTAGTAGTAGTAGTGGTGGTGGTGCTGGTGGTGGTAGTGTTATTAGTCTTGGTAGTAGCATTAGTATTAGTAGTAGTATCAGTATTCGTTCTAGCACGATCCATGATATATTTACATTCGTAGTATGACTATCACAACTATATTACCAATAGTAATATGACTGAAAATAGTATTCGTATTATTCTTGTTATCAGTAGTAGTAGTAGTAGTAGTAGCAGTATGAACAGTAGTATTACAACTATCAATGTTAACCATAGTATTGATAGTATTAGTTGTGATACTATTATTCGAATTACTTGTCATAGCACTCTTCCTACGTTTATTCTTATGAGTCGTACGATTATTATTTCCATGCGTATGCGTATTACGATGATTGTTATCAGTATGATGAGTCGTCAAAAACGTCTTACTGCTATTACTATGATTAGGGTTCTTGATGCAATAGTATTATGCTTCTTGACGTGCTTATTATGTTTCTTCTTTTTGTCCGCATTATTGATACGATTATTGTTCCGCCTCCTCCTCCTCCCCCTCCGCCTCCTCTCCCTCCTCCTCCTCTTGCTCCTCCTCCTCCTCCTGCTCCTCCTGATCCTTCTCCTCCTCGTCCTCCTCCTCCTCTTTGTATCAGTATTGATAGTATTAGAACTACTACAACTATCTTCATAGTACTGTATTATGTTTCGTATTCGTATTTCTTACTATTATTAAGTTTCCCCGTATTCGTGTCATCATCCTTTTCTTCTTAGTATTATGATTCATCTGGCTATCATTATTAGTGTTATTAACTGAGTTGCTATTGTACTCTTACTAAGATTAGCCTAAGTATTATTATTAGTAGTATTCCTCCTCCTCCTCCTCCTCCTCCTGTTATTAGTAGTATTATGCGTAGTAGTGATATCATTAGCCTGGTTATTCATATTAGAATGTTTTTTCTGACTCGCAACATTATCATTGTTCTTCTTATAGCATTACTATCAATATTCTCAGCGTTCTCATTATTATCCACATCATTATTCTTCGTTTTCGTCCTCCATATCGAGGCAGGCCGGCACACGAACGAATCGCGCCTGGCGGGCGCAGCCTAAGAACGGATGGGCACAAGAGATAAAGAAACTGCCAGCGGGGCAGCCAAGGCGCAGAGCATGCGCCTGCGAGGCGGGGAGGTAGAGAGAGGGGACGAGGACCGAATGGAAGTACCGAGGAACGAACTGAACGAAGAGGGACCGAAATACACGTGCAGCAGCAGGCAGCCTGCCTCGTGGGGTCATTATAGTACGAAGTCCACGCAGGCGGCCGCAAACCAAGGAGTGGCGGTGCAGTACCCGCCGTTACCCTGGTCCTCCACCCCTCCCACCAGCCATAGTTGTCGAGGTTAGCAGTAACCAGCGTATGATGCGCGGCAAGGGAAACAAACACAGAACAAGCGACAGAAGGTAGCACGCTGGCTGTCTGCAGTTGGGTGGGCAGGTGTAAACTAGAGCGTGCTGCTGTCGGAAGTCCACAGCGGGAAGAATCATGGGGGTCTCCCCCGTCAGACGTGCCAAAATGGCAACATCGAAAGCCAGTAAGACGGAAAACTGCTGGGAGCTGCGAGTGAAAGGGAGCTTTAACGTGGTAGGTTGGAAGGTAATGGCGAGAAGAAAGCTGGCTCGCACAAGGCGGCTAGCCTGCGGCCGCTAAAATGTACGGAACTGGGTGCGCTGGCCATGGATGTCAGCACAGATGTACCGAGCTCAAACATGTTGGCAGACAAGCTGCGCTATCTGCAAGGCTCTGATCGGTCGGCCAGATCACTGTTGGCGGGTCTAGAGCAGGCTGCGCAGATCTACGATGGAAACTTGAAGGGCCCATCCGTTTCCCACTCCTCCACGTAAGCCCCCGTCCCAACCACCTGATGGACTAAGCTTGATCGCGCTGAAAAAACGGCTAAGCAAGAATTGAACAATCTGATAGGCCTGCCAGGCCAGAACCGGCTGGTCTACAGGTGGTTGTGCGGCTCTACGCTGTAACTTGCGGGCGCCGCTTTCTTCCCAACCCACCCTTCATCCTACCTCCATCCCCCACCACATAATAAGGCTGGTATGTCATGCCGAGAAGGACGGCTGCGCTTTCGGACTCCAGTGGTAAGGCTGGCTCGTGCATGACGGCTGGCCTGCGGCAGCTGATATGTTAGCTTATATGTACTGAACTTGAGCGCGTTGGCAGAACGGCCGGCTGACTGCAATTCTCTGATAGGCTGGCCAAGTCGAGCACGAACTTTGTATGAACAGAGGGAGAAGAAGCAGGTCAGTAATTGATGTCCGTGTGGAAACTAACGTACAAGCGGTAGTTATCCCCAGTATGGTCCATCTTGTGCTCGGTTTGGAAGCCTTGGCTTCGGCGTTGGTGATGCCTTGTGCTCTGCTGTTGGAAAATTTGGGTTTGGGCATTGGTGGAGCAATTGGGCGCCATGGTGATCTCGTCGCGGC